GGGAGGGACAGAGGAAGAAGCATACTCCCCGCTGAGCAGGGAGCCCGATGCAGGGCTTGATCCCAGGACCCTGAGATCATGACCTGAACCAATGGCAGTCACTTAACCCACTGAGCCACCCAGGAGCCCCTGTAATTTTCTGATTTTAATTTGATGTTCTACCCTTTGTTCAAACCCAAGACTTGCTACAAAGGTGTCTGGCTCAAGGTGAAAGACTGCTGTTTTGGAAAAATAGGAATGCATGTAAGAGATAAATGATTTAGATGTACTAAGCTGCACTAATCAATAGTTGTGCTGTTCTGGAAAAGTAGAAATGAATGTAAGGAATAGATGATTTCAATGTCTGATTTTGTACAATTTACTATAATCCCCCTTCCTTGGGGTGTAACAGGTAGAGCCTGACTCTCTGGTGTTCCCAAATGTAAATTTAATAAAAAATGTGTCTTCAGAAAGTTCTTTTAGCAAGCCAGCACCCAGGACATGCTTCAGACTGGGTTTGTTAACTCAAACCCGTAAGAGGAATTGTTAAGGGGGGTGGGCAGTGGAGGGAAGAAGGAAGAGAGGACAGTGTTTCTAAGAATAATTGGATAATTGGAGGATAAGAAGTCTATACACTTATTTCAGAATAAATTAATTTCCCAGAAAAGGTATTGAGAAACTTGCACGTTTCATTGCTTTGGCCATTTCCAGGCATATAGGAGGGCAAACAAAATGATCTAATAGGTGTCTTCTGCCAGTAAGATGAATGCAATCTTAAGGCAGAAAAGAAGTGATAAAATAACAACGGGCTCTGATTTATTTCTATCAATGTAGTACCAGAACCTTAAAAAAAAATAAAACCTTTTTATTGTAGAGCCATATAACAAGAAAGCTTAAGAATGCATAATTTTTGCTGGGGAGAAACAGGGGCAAGAATGATGTTCAGCTTAAGCAAAGCTGTAGTTGAGAAGTTACAACTTGCTGACACTATGAATGCATAGTGGGATCGGTAGCCGATCCTTGTGCTACTTGGTGTCAAGGATGGTTCTAGGTTTCTCCACATCACCCATTAACTCATTTACTCCCCATAATGGTATCATGAAGTTTAGACATACTTACAGAGGAAGTATCCAAGGCACAAAAAGGCCACACGACTTGCCTGAAAGTCACACGGCTCATAAGCAGCAGATCAGGGATGTGAACTCAGGCAGTCTGGCCCCAGAGTTCATGCTCTTGACATACAACAGTACGTGTGCCGAGCACTATGAATTAGTCGGTGAAAGTGGGCACTTGGTCAAACAAAATCTTGGGCTGTTAGTGTCAATGACAACAGTGAAGAATGCTTTTTGTGTTGTTCATGAGAAACTCGTGCAAGAAGAATCAGGAAAATATAGCATTGGCCAATGGCATGAGCACGGGTTGAGAAGTCAGAAGACACAGAATCAAAAAACCTCTATAAAATGAGAGCTGAACAACATGCCTTTTGTTCCTTTTCACACCGGTGTTGATGTTAGCCCTGTGGTTTCTCATGGCCTCTTCCCACAACAGGTACCTAAAAAGTCATGAATCGCAAATGGAGCTGTGGAATCAAATAAGGGAAAGGGAACGAGATTGTCCCGATGCGAAAAAGGAAATAATTGGATGTTAGGATTGTGGAAAAACACACTGCTGGTGTAGACCAAAATAGAAGAGAACGCATTGTGAAGAATTTAGTTATTTAAAACCATAAGCAGGGTTTAGAATGTCAGCTCTTACAAGGAGGGAACTTACCTCTTTAAATTTATTTCCATGGCACATATGCATGTCCAGATACTTGATATACACTTTGCAATGGTGATGGCAATATTAGTTTTGGTGGTGATTTGGAAGATAATGAAGAACTCTAGAATGCCAAAAAAAAAAAAAAAAAGTCCGAGTGATTAAAACCATAGCACTATTCCTACTATCTGTAAAGTAAGGGTAATATTAACCTCAAGGTCAGTTGGGAGGATTAAATGAGATAAAGCCGAGAAAGTGCTAATCACGATCTCTGCTTCATTATATGCTGTTATTCAAGGTTGACGACGACGATGATGATGGTGATGACACGAGTCAAACTGCTCTTAGGGAGCCCTGTCCAACTCTCAACAATTTTAAAATAGAACATTTGAGTTAACATGTACGTACGTCTGACACTGGAACATTGAAACTATTCAAAAGATTACAGCCAAATGTGATCGGATTTTAAAGTCATAGGCACAGTTTGGCCTTACATAATTTAATTTGGAACGTGTTTATTTTCTCCAGATGTTTATATTAGAATAGTATATTCTCTGAAATGCTACTGGATCAAGGTCCTGGGTGCTCTGTGTTCGTCCTGGAATCATAGTTTGCTAACGAGAACTGACACGTTCTGACACAAAGTGGTTTGGAGCTCCTTTCCTTCTGTCCACATGTTTTAGAAAAAGGAAAAAGAGCGTGTTTGGAAATGGCGAAGAAAGCACAAACTTTAAGGTCAAAAGTCAACTTCCAGTTCCTTATCTGTAAGATTTTTGTAATAATTAACTTACTTCATAAGGATATTCTGAAAACCAAATGACAGACTCTCTGTGCAAATGTTGTAAAATGCTAATTTATATCTCAAGTCACATTTCTCCTTACTTTTAAAATGGCCACGGGTACCTGGATAGCTCAGTCTGTAGACCATCTGCCTTCAGCTCCGGTCACGATCCCAGGGTCCTGGGATGGAGCCCCACGTTTGGCTCCCTGCTCAATGGGGAGTCTGCTTCTCCCTCTGCCCCTCCCCCTGCTCGTGCTCTCTCTCGCTATGTCAAATAAATAAGTAAAATATTAAAATAAATAAATAAATAAATAAAATAACTGCTTAAAGCCAAGAATGTAAGATCATCTGCTTGGTGGGTTATCACTTATTATAGTTACCTCTCGGTCTCTCTGGCCTGGGTACATATTAAAAGCAAGGCTATGGCTTTTTTTCTTTTTTTACCTCAGTTTCTCCAGCATTTAGCATGCTAGCTGATGCATAATAGGTCCTGGCATATATGTTTAAATGATGCTTTCAGAGGAAGCACGAACATTGATTTGAACCCCACGTATTACGGGCCAGGCATGTCATGAGACTAGATGGCTTAAATGCACTTGTCTCCTTTTACAGGCCACTAAAAGATGTATAAATTGCTGCTGTGGGCTGGGTTCCCAAGAGTTAAGACGCTGAGGTGGAGTTTTCGGTGCAGGTATTGATAAGGGATCAGCACCGGTGGAAGCAGAGGGTGGGGGAGCAAGCCTGGGCGCAAACACACATAGAGCTGGCATGCCTCAGTCAACCCAGTGGCCAGCTCTGGAGCCAGGATGGCCTGCTAGCGTTGTCTTCCATTGGGCCAGGATAACCAGGCTCTTAGACTGCCCCCCACACCTCCATCAGTTACTGGATCTGAGCCACCCCTGGAAGAACACGCTCTTGGGCAAGGTGACTGTGTAGCTCAGGCACTTCCTGAAGGGGTTGATGGCTGGAGCAACAAATCCTTCCTTGGTGCATGTCCATATTCCCTGCAGTCACCAAATTTAAAAGGTTCTCTCTACCACGTGAGAAGATGGTATTAATATTTGAGGGCACAGAATGACTTTACTCAATGAGAAATTGGAAGTTCCATTCATAATTGAATTAAAGAAAAGGCCAATGCTCTTACAGATTTGCGGTAGAACATACCCAAACACGTCATTAATACAGTGACAACTTAAAGGAAAACATTGATTTGTTGGCATGTGATGTCGTTCTCTCAAGAAGTACTGTCCTTCAGCAAGTAGTTGCTGGGTACCTGTTTGTGCATTGAAACAGGCATTACGAAGCAAACGCTCTTCCCAGTGTGTAATGATACAGCCATGCGCAGAACCTCTCTTCCCAGATCCACGCCTCTCCAATATTCTGGTTCCTGAAGGGAGTAACATGTCTATCCACCATGATGTGGCCATGCTCTGGGTTCACCAAGGGGGCAGCATCAGCAGGATATGGTTTGTTTTTCTGATAGAAGCCTTCACAACGGCCTGGCCCCCATGCATTTGGTGTTCCATACTGGGCAGCTGTCTTGCTCAAGTGTGTATGTTTCAGCAGGACCTGAAGAGATGGCCGAAAGCACGTCTGGACCTTAATTCCTCCGATGTCACAAGGAAGAAATGAATGTACCCAAACGGTTCCCCAGTCATAACGTGTATGCAGCCCACTCCACCAAATACAAAATAATGTGTTGGGTGGATTAGCAAGCACTTGGGTTTAGAAGAAAATTAACCATTATTTCCTTGAGACCAAGGAGGGCTGATTGGTCCTTCATTCTAAGCTTCTGGGGAAAGTTGAGAAGCTTACATGAATAAGACTTAAGAGACTGGTCTGAAAAACTCAAGAAAATCAATTCAGTCCATAATCCCCTCTATTTTCCAGTACAGTGTTAACTGACTATTATTAAATACTTATAAATGATGAGGGTAAAATCAGTTTACAAGAGGCTTGCCCTCCACCATCATGGATTATCATACAGATTTTGAAGATGTAAGCTACTAAGATTATAACATATTCTGATCTCCCTTTACTCATGCGTAGCAAATGGGGAAGATGGGTGAACATTCCTCAGGCATTCCAGGAGTAGTGTTTTCAACAGATCAATGTTTTCATTTGATTCTCTCTCAATCCTTAGGGGTGGACATTAAAATAAGACTAAATATGTTAAATTTTTAAAAGACATAATAGAAATTCCATAGTAACTCAATATCCAATAATGTCTAAATTCTCTCCATTCCCAGGCTATTTTGAGGTCTTTGGGGAAAATGTAATTCTTCTTCCTCTTTCTCAGCCTTGATATGCCCCATTAAACTTTATTCTATCTCTCTGACTCTTTTCCAGCCCATTCACCGTATTCAGCATCCAAGAGCCTTAAAAGACTGAGAATCTTCACAGGTGGGGGAAGGGAAGTGCTCATGGCTGTGAAGCAGAAAGCCTGGGTTCTGGTTCCAAATCCAAGACTAAGTGTGTGCCTTCGGGCAAACCTGGGTTTCGGCAGGTCTCCATTTGCTCATCTGTTTAGGGAGAGAAGAGGATGGACGCTTTTTAATGACTCTCCCAATGCCACTGTTCCATGATTTGCTAGTCTTCCTAGCATATTCTGCTCATTTCTATGGGGAAAGCTTTGACAATAGACTGTGCAATGGGATTCGATGGGAATGTTTTCTATGGCTTCCAGGGAATTTGGAAAATATGAGTCACATTAAGTGCCCCCTCCAGTCCCAAATGGGTAGTAAGGAAATAAAGACCGGAGTTTGGGGCATATGACTCTCAAAGCAAATTGAATTTTCAAAACCAGGAAGAGATATTTTAAGGCTAGCAGTATTATTTTCAATCTTTGATTAGTGACATGAAAGAATAGCTATAAATGTGGCCAGCAGTTAACTACTTGCTTTATCAGTCAAGGATTATAACCATTTAACTTTAGGTATTAAATTTAATTCTTTTTTATGACAAAATTTCTCCTGATGTAATGATTCAAATTACCATTTCACATTTGCCTTCAAAATGGGGAGACCTCTAATTAGTGAACTGGCTGGCTCCATCACCACGAAGGTGAAGATCAAGGGCAAGGTTTAATAGCATTACTTTTATTCTGTCCCAAAGTCACAAATACAAATTTAACCCCGCTGGCTTCCAAAAAAAAAAAAAAAAAATGTGTGAAATCTATATGCTAGAGAGTGTACAAAACCATCATCTTTACAGCAAAAGTAATTCACAGGTTGACTATATGAACAGCGGGGTGCACTGTCATCTCTGGTGAGCCAAGACAGCACGGTGTCAAGGTTGCCGTGGAAACTGAGTCGCCAACCTAGGGTAGCGTTGTGGTGCCTAAAGTGGGCATAGCATTACGCCAGCACCATGACTATTCTCGTAATGCTCAGGAGTATCACTGGACCTGGAACACTAGACTATCAATGGCACAGAAACCATGGTTGGCGAATTCTTTGTCCTCCTGGTCCTTCATTTGTGGATACTTACTCTTTTCTGAGAAAAGTGAAGAGATTAAGAAAGAGATGACCTCTCTTTCATTCCTTAGTGCCTAAGGAAGCCAGAATGCATCGGATTTTATGCTCATTCAATAAGCTAATTTCTGAAACTAAAAACCAAATTTCCTAAGCCCCTATCGCCCTCGTCTATTGATTTCGAAAAATGTCCTCCCCATGCATTCTAGAACCCCACCTCCCTCTTTTTCTGGACCCCTCCCCCACATGCACCATAAGGGATGCATTATAGTAGAATATTTAGTAGGAAAAAGCAATACTCACAGTCACAATTTTGAAGATACTGTCTTTTTATTTCACAACATGGGAATAACTCAAATTTTGAGTCTCAGAGACCAAAAGAGAGTTGAGCCAAATGTTCAGAAGATGAGCCAGGCCACCATTTTGGCAGCAAGCTTCACATGGACAAGTGGATGGTAGAGAATGATGCCCGCGACATGGCTAAAGCTATAGCACACCCACAAATAGATTCATACTTGGTTGTCTAATTTGCATGCATGAGTATAGTGCGTTCTCCATGCCACTAGTACATATATGCCTTTTTCAAAGTCAGTGCAGGATCCGTATTTGTGCAGGTCTTTAAAAGTCTGCTCCCTTACAAAATTTTACCATAATTTATCTGCAAGAGCCTTCAGGTGACAAATTCCGTATGCCACCTTTACTTCCCAAAAGTCATTTCTGAATAATAATGACCGCTATCAGGAGTTCCAGCATCACGTAAGAGAATCCATTTGTTAGTTATTTTAATGTCAGTTAGCTGGCTGTGAGTGAGCCTGGCTACACATCTCCAACCTGCTTGGTGCCTGGAATTCACCACTGGTCACCTTTAGCAGTGATGGCAACCTTAGATCGAAGGGCAAGATCCAAATCAAACCGAACCAACCCAGACGGTGTCGCAGAAAGAGTTGGGCTTTCTTCCTGCTTTCCAAAGCGAAGGCTTCCCTAATCTGCACCAAACAGTGACAACCTGACCCACTTGGGCACGGGGGGCGGGGGGAGGGGTCACTTTCTCCGCTAAGGCTGGAATTGTTGGAAACTTGAACAGCATTCAGCGCCAAGGGGGCAAATGCCTGAATCTGAAAAGGAACCAAAAGAAATTGTACCAGGGAAAGGAGACAGGGGTGGAAGACCAGTTCCCGGAGCATCTCTCTCTGTCAACAAGCATGGAGAGTCTTTATTACTAGAATATGCACAATCCTGTGGGAATTGCTGCATCTTTTTTCTTTTCTTCCCCCCCCTTAACTCTTTTCTTGCCAGTCCTTCCCTGGCTGGTTGAACTGCCTCAGTGCGGGGGTGGGGGGAAGGAGGGAGGTTGTCCCATCCAGAAGCCACTCAGCGGGAGGCCTCAGGAGCTGCACTCCTCACAGTGACAAGAGAGGATGTACCGGTAGGTGGCGGTGAGCCGCATGCCCCCCGAACAGCGCAGCCGCAGTGCCTTCAGCTTGGAGGTCTGGGGCCGGCAACAGTGACAGGAGGAGCGGAAGGGCTGCTTGAGGACAGTGCTGAAGGATACCAAGGGCTCCGAGCGTGACACCTGGCTGCAGTGCCCCTCGCACCTGGCCAGAAGCACCATCTGGGGAGAGAAGAGACATGGTTACTCTGTGGGGAGGCCAAAACTTCAGCCAGATCCCACAGCACCCTGACACCCTTTACCAATTTCCGCTGGGTTCGCTCAGTGGCTCTCAACCCAGGCTGCACCTTAGAATCGCCTGGCAAACTTGGTTTTAAAATGTCAGGAACCCAGGGGGCGCCTGGGAGGCTCAGTGGGTTGAGCCACGGACTCTTGGTTTCAGATCAGGTCACGATCTCAGGGTTGCGAGATCGAGCCCCGCATTGGGCTCTACACTGAGCGTGGAGCCTGCTGGAGATTCTTTCTCTCTCTCCCTTTGCCCTCTGTGCCCCCCCTCCCCACTCGCACCTTCTCTCTCTCTCTAAAATAAAAAATAAAAATTAAAAATAAACAAAATATCAGCACCCAGGCCCCATCTTGAACCAATTGAATGAAAATTCTCGGGGATGGAGCCTGAGCTTTTATGGTTTCCAAAGCTCTTCCACTGATTCCAAAGTACACTGAGGGTGTAGAACCACTACACGAGGCCGACCACCATGATGTGCAAATAAAAACCAAAGAACGAAAGAAATGTCTCAGGACAGTTGGTAGTCCACCATGGGCCCAGTGTCAGTTCGACCAGTCGTGAAATGCAGAAAGTCATTCCGAATTGAAATCAGGGAGCAAATGAAGAAGGGCTACAGAAAAAAGGAATATGTTATGTGCAAGGAATTGCTAAAGAAAAGGAATATGGTTTCTGGAGAAGAAAAAGAGGCTGACCTGAGTGATACTCAGGAAGAAATATTCTGGGCACTACAACTTGAAACAAGAGAATGAAACAGAAACAGGGTATGTTTTGGGCCCTGGAATCACACTTCTGGGCTTATACACTGAAGTAGCCCGAGATTTGTGCAACTGAATCTTAGAGTCATTTATGGCAAATGTCAGGATGCATTCATTCTGACCATCTCCATTTCCAGAGGTAAGTTAGGATTATACTAAAGCTTGGGCCGGGGGTGCCTGGGTGCCTTAGTTAAGCGTCCAACTCTTGATTTTGGCTCAGGTCCTGATCTCAGGGTTGTGAGATCAAGCCCGGCCTCAGGCTCCAAGCTCAGCAGAGAGTCAGCTTGAGATTCTCTCTCTCCTTCTCCCTCTGCCCCTGCCCCTGCTCATTCTCTCTCACTCCCTCTCTTTCTCTCTCTCTCAAACAAATAAATTAAAAAATAAAAATAAAGCTTGGGCTGAAGTAACAGAGGCTGTGTGTTCTTTATAGTGGCTCTTAATGTGATTTTGGTGAAAGTCTTCTTTAAGAAACTGATGCAAACTACCAAGGTTATCCCCAGAACAATGGACATAGGCACACACTCAGTATGTTGCATCCAGCTTAAGGGAGCGGAGTAGAGGCTGGTTTATGTCTCCCATACATACATCCTGGTATCCTGGGAGTGGCAGTCATGGGTAGGGTAGGGTGGGCAACTTGATTCACTAAGAATTAAAAGAAGGAAATGGCCTGCTCATCTTTCTAAAAGGAAGACAAGATGACTTCTGGTCATTATAGATTATTAACATCATTATCAAAAAAGATGCTGGGATGAATCCAAAGATAGGATATGAGATACTAGGGAGCAACCAGCAGGGCTTGGTGAAGTTGGACTAGGATCTACGGATTTATTTTCTCTGAAAGATCACAGAGGCAGAGAGAAAATGGCAGCTATGAGCTGTTTTGGAATTTGTGAAGGCTCAGTGCTATCCTGCCCGCTCTTTATGTTGATAGGCAAAACAAACATGATCTGAAATAGGTTTTGAGAGATTATGCCATAGATCAGTAGTACATGGGCCAGTCCTTGGTGCCCACCCCATCTAATGAGAAGGAGCCCAAGGATGTGCTCGTCTCTAATGGGGGTCATCTCTCCCACAGATTAAGCAACATTCAGAGGTCACCTCCCCAAATGGAGTCTTCAGAGATCCAATTTCAGTCCAGATGAATATAGTGAACCTGTGTCAACAGACCTAATTCCAAGGGGCACAGACATGGTGGTGTATGCTACCTAAGTGACGCACATGTGGGTGAACAGGATGTAGACCTGGAATGACCCGGAAGTTAGCACTGTCTGTAAAGCGACCAAGTCAGCAATGTTGGGCCATTTGTAGAAGTATTGAACCGATTGTGATTTCACTAAATGTTTTCAGGGTCTCAAGCTCCACCTTCAGCTCGTTCTGAAGGACAAGAACTCCAGCACCGAAGACCCTGGGGCCACCTCCAATGGGTCACTCTATCTCAGGAGCTGGACTTTTGGGGCAAGGAGAATGCACAGACATGTACGTACAATAAACACATTCAGTGGCTGCCTGCTGCCTTTGGAATCAAGTCCAAAATCCTGAATGGGTATTAAGATCCTCCATGACTTGGATTTCACATCTTTCCCGTCTTACTTAGAACTGTTCTCATTTTTGTCCCCACTCCCTTACAACTGTTCTAGTTCTCATCACTCCCTATTCTAATCAAGTTCAATCACTTAGGAGTTCATGGAACTGCCCTGAATTTCCCTGCCTCTTGCCTCTGCTCATGTCTTTCCCCCTCTCAGAAATGCCCTTTCCTCCTAGCTCTGCTTAATGAAATCCCAACTATCCTCCATTGCCAAGTTCAAATGCCCACTCCTCTAAGAAGAGACTACGAAACAATTATAGGACCCTTGACATGCTCAACACACATGCAAATCTCCTCTCTGGGAGATTTCCAGTCTATAGATCCCATCTCAAACCTGGAAGTGACATACAAATCTAGCTCTGATTTGTAAATTTGTGTTGGAGGGCTACAGCGGGGAGTTTGGAAGGTAAGACCTAGAAATGAGTGCCATTAAGGAATGGAAGAATTAAATACCTGCCTTCCAGATTCACTCCTGATATTCCATGCTTTAGTCTCTGTCAAGCCTCACCTGTTCCATGGATTTCATGAACATCTTCTCACCTCTTCCAGACTAGAGCTTCTAGAACTATAAAATGCATGTAAATCAGCTGGGGATCTTGTTAAAATGCAGATTGTGCTTGAGTAGTTCTGGCTGAGGCCAGAGATTTTGCATTTGTCACAAGACTCTGGTTGATGTCAGTCCACACATTGAGTAGCAAGGCTCCGGACCTATTAAAGTCTGAGAAGTTCTGCTCTAGGCTGGTCGCTAGATAGCAATCATTTAGCAAATAATAATAATGGCAGCTAACATTTATTGAGTGCTTACAACATTTAATCTCATTTAATTCTCATAACAATCCGATGCTAAAGGTACTCTTTTAATCTGTACTATTATTACAGATGAGGAAGCCGAGGCTTTATAGAGTTGAACTAACTTGCCCAAACTCACATATCTGGTGCAAGGCAAGGCTGGAATCAAACCTAGGTCTGCCTAAAGCCCCTGGTCTAAATCACTGTCATATCCTGCTTCCTGATATGAAAATGTTTTCCTGAAGCATGAGCCAACTCACACCCTTCTCCAATCTACTTTGACCTGCCTCTGGGAGCCCTAAAAATATCATAACCATACAAGTCTGACCTTTTTCTTATGAACTTCTTGGGATACATCATCACCACCCCCAAGCTTCTGCAGAGCTGAATCTTTTTTTTTTCTAATTTTTTTTATTAACATACAATGTATTATTTGTTTCAGGGGTATAGGCTGTGATTCATCAGTCTTGCACAGTTCACAGCACTCACCATAGCACATACCCTCCCCAATGTCCATCACCCAGCCACCCCATCCCTCCCACCCCCCTCCCCTCCAGCAACCCTCAGTTTGTTTCCTGAGATTAAGAGTCTCTTATGGTTTGTCTCCCTCTCTGGTTTCGTCTTGTTTCATTTTCCCCTCCCTTCCCCTATGATCCTCTGTCTTGTTTCTCAAATTCCTCATATCAGTGAGATCATCTGTATTCAAATGCCCACTCCTCTAAGCAGAGGAGAGGGCTTTCTCTGATTGACTTACTTCGCTTTCTCTGATTGACTTATTTCGCTTAGCATAATACCCTCTAGTTCCTTCCACGTCGTTGCAAATGGCAAGATTTCATTTTTTTTTTTTTTGATGGCCTGCAGAGCTGAATCTTGAAAGAGCACTCCTAAATGATACCTCCTCCACTGTCCCACAATTGCATCCCCCAGTGATCTGGAGACTCCCAGAAACTCCTTGGATGGTACCACTCAGTGTCTAACTCCTTAACCAAGTCATCAAACATCAGTTCACCTGCCAAAACCCGGTTTGTGGTCAACAAGCGTTCTTCATGCCTGGGTGACTTGGCTATACCTTCTAACATGGGAAGACTCCTCTGCATTTGGCACTGCTCTTAACTGCTCATAATGGAGAGCATCCACATTGCTCCATTATGAAATCAGGAAATGAATTTCTTTTGACAAAGAACCCACGTGGGGCTCTACCATCAAAGGAACAGGTGCCGCCGTTGGTTTTTGCTCATTGACCTTCGATGGACTTCTCACAGCTCAGGTGGGTGACAGATACATGTTATCTGCTTTGCGTGCAGTTTAATTTTTGCTCTCTTAGGTTCCCCCAAGCAAGTGGCCTGATGCTAGGAAGCTAGGCAACTTCTCCAGTGGTCCCTTTGTATCCCCCCAACCTTAGAGTCACTTGCCTCCAGCTGGATGTGAAAGTCAGTTCCTTCTGATACGAACAGAGCCGCAGGGTTCAGAGAGATTGCTCAGGGATGGGCTCCTTCATGTTCTAATCTGATTTCCATGTGCTGAAGCTAAGAGTAATGAAAAGTCCTTGCGTGATCATAAAAGAATGGTAAAGATGATGATATATAACATGTATTGGACATTTACTAGGCCCCAGGCTCGGTGCCAAGTCCTTCATATGCAACCTGATTCTTAACAGCCATTTCAAAAGGTAAACTTTCCCCATTTTACAAATGAAGACACGAAAAGATGGAGGATGAGTCACTGGCCTGAGGTCCCATCGCTGTCCGATGGAGGGTCAGGATTCTGACCTGAGACACCTTGATTCCTGAGCCCTCTGTCCTAACCATAACAGCCAGCCTGGAACTTCCTAAGTTACTCAAGCTGGTCATGGGCAACTTCAGGCTACACTGTGAAGGTGATAGCCGGCTGTGATTCCCTGGGTCCTGACCAAAGATTGCACCCGACGACCCCAGGCCCCAGCTCTCTCTGGTGACCCCACCATGCTTCTTAGGCAGTTCTGTCTTCTGCTGCAATATCAACTATCTTCTGAGTGAGAGAAAACCCAAACACAGATGGTTTTCATCACTCCTTGCTGAAAGATTCTTACCATTGCCAAAGCCACTTTCTTCCTCTGTCATGGGGGACTCCTGTGAATTCTTGGCTCAGGCCATGACTGACTAGATGTCTTCATCGGTATCAGAATAAAGACCCAGAATAAAGACTTTGCACACAGAACAGCCTACCCTAGAAGGGGAATTTGACCGTTGTACCTCATTTAAATGAGAAACATTTTTTTTTGCCCTTTTCTCGGCAGTGAACGCTATGTACCCCTTATCCTGTGGCACCTCCTACAGCACCCATCCCTTCTCTCCCCGGCACCCTCCATAAATGACCATTCAGATCATCCCCAGGCACCCCGGTCACCCCCCAAAGGGTCTGTGCCAGGCTGCAAAATTGCAACCAGAGGAATGAAGCAGCAAGGGGAAGGATGGAATCTGGTCCCTTCGCTCTGGTCACAACTCAAACCGACGCGAAGCCTTTGAACACAGAACATTTCCCTTCCCTCTCTCCCTCATTTACTGATCAGCATCATGAGGGTAAAAACTTGGTTGGTTGTTTTTTTTCCCCCTATTTTTGTACCTCCATTGCCGGCCACGAGGCCTGCACCTAGTAGGCATGCAATATAAATTCATTCCTTAAAAGAAAAAAGTGGTATCTCTCCAGTAGTTAATGGTGTTAGAAGTTCAATGTTCCTGACTCTCCTACCATACTATGAGCTTCGTCAGCAGCCCTAGGAGAGGATCGGGGATCTTACCAACTTCCTCTCCAATTCCTCGGGGAAGTTCCCCAGGTTTTATCACATGAACTGTCCTTCTCTTTGGCCCTTCGGCGTTCAGATGACCCTATGCCCTGGTTCTGTGTCCCTGTGGGACTACCATCTCCCCCCACATTCCTCACCCAACTCAGACTTCACAGGCCTGCCCTATTAGCTCGCTTTCCCAGCCTCAGTCCCTGAAAACTCCTCCCTGGCTCACATCCAGAACTTGTCCCCTCCGCCCCCCACCCTCTGCTCCCTCCACTCACTTGGGAAGGGAGGTCAGACAGCAGGATCTGTTTCTCTTCTACTGTTCTCTCCCCACTCTTAACACCCAGCATGATGGCTTACATTCACTTTGCTCTTCTGCACGCTCCCCCCACCCCTGCCAGATCTCTGTGTTTAGCAAGAACCCCGATGAGGTTCATTCTCCTAATCCTTTCAGGCTCTACGAGATCCCAACGGTTATTGAGGTCTCAACGGTGACTGAAATAGAAAGTGAGTCTAAACACCTGTCCAGTTTATAGCTTCGTCATCAAGATCATAATATCCCTTATGAATGTCTAGTATATGCCAGATACCATGCTGAAGGCTTTACAGATATCATCACCAATACCCATACCTCCGCCTTTAGATAGACAACGTTTGCCCCATTTTACATGGGAATAAGTGGAGGCACCAAAGACTTATTTTACTTCTCCTGAAGTCACCCATTGGGCACACTGCGAAGCTGGGATATGAAACCAGGTGTCTCTCACTTCAAAGTCCGGGATGCCTCAGTTGCCTTAAAGGTTCTCCAGATGGCTCATTTTCACTAACCACTGGCCTTTTGCCTGTTTGCTCTAACACCATTAACTACTGGGCCCTCCCTTTACTACTCAGAGTTTCAGGGAAGATTGTCAATGAACCTGCCACTCCTGGGATTTTTGTACCCAGTCCTAGGAGGTGTCACCACTGAAAACTTCCAGGCACATCGTAATCTGCAGTCACGTGACCTCCTTGGTGGACGGCTGTAGCCCATCTTTTCTGCCTGACTCTGTCTCAGCCCTTCCCTGAATTGTTAAGCGATAGGTGACAGGTCCCTGGAGCTCAGGGCTAGGGGGGAGCAGACAGTCTCATGGCAGGCTCCCACAGAACTTTCACAATGGTTCCTATCTTCTAGAAAGATCACTGAGTATAAATCATTATTTCTAGCGGACCCGAAGTTGAGCCTGGACTTCTAAATAGTGGCTTCTGCATTCTACCTGCATTTCTCTGATATGAAGATCCAAGTAGTTGAAAGAGAAATGATCTGAGGCAGACACTGCCACTCCTGGAGCAATCTACTGAATACTATTTAGTGTTTTAGTTTTCCCTACCGGCAAAATGGGATTGGTAATGCCTTCCAACACAGGTTTGTTGGCAGTGATTAGATCATATATTATGAGACGCCTGACACATATTAGGTGTTCAAGCAGATGCCCTCCCTCCCCTGAGCCTGGGTCACACTCTCCCGGACACCTGTCTTCCCAAGGCCAGACACTGGATAAATGTAAGTCGGGAAGTGTCAACCACAGACAGGCAAATGGTATAGGCATGTGTCTAGTAAACAACGGCCTTTGAACATCATGCGAAGGGAAATTTTTGCAGAGAGGAAAGAGCGAGCCTAGTCTCCTCATTGTAAAAACCCTCGTTGGCCGTTTTCTAGACACAGGTTAAATGTTTTTATCTCAAGTCTGTAAAGAACAATTTCATTAATGAGACCCATTAGAAAGAAGACCAGCCCGAGTTGGTGAGAGTCAAGAATCATAGATTATTTAAAAATGAAAAACAGTTTTTGTTCTTGGATACACAGAGAAAATCTAATCCAGAAAAGGTCTGAGTAGTTGAGATTCTGCCAGGCATATTTTAAGGCCAAGAAAGAAAGATTTATAATTGCAAGCACCATTTACATAAAACTATTGCTATATTTGAGATCATTTGGGATGTTTGAAAACAGATTGTTCCCATGAAATTACAAACATTTCTGCTACTATCACAATTTTGTGCCATTTACCATGGCATTCTGGAAGGAACGGATGTGAGCAAAGGTAGACTAAAGTCTGTTTCTAGGAGTCATGCTCAAGCACCGTGAGTTTGTTGGGCTCGAGTTAATGACATCTCTTCTCTGACCTTCTCTTAACTAGTGTGATCATTGCTAAGGTGTTCTTCCATCATTTCATCAAATCCTTCTGGATTGCTTTTTAGTTTTTAGAGATGCTCCTATTTCTCTGTTCCTTTCTATCATCACACTGACATTCTCTTTGAAATAATTTTAATAACCCCCGCTTTCGTTAAAAGAATCATGATTATGGAGAACAGCTCTATAGAGGGAGAAATCATCCATGGACTAAGGACCACCAAATACTAGTGCTATCTGTAGGGGGGGAGGGAGGAGAGGCTAATAATTGCTCAGGCCCACAATTTCTGAGCAATCACAGTTGTAAAAACATATCCCGTCTTTTTTTGCCTAAGAAGGGATTGCAGCCTTACAAAAATTTAAGTTTATCTATTTACTCCTTTTTTTAGTTCTACAAGCACAAATAAGAGCCAGAAAGTTTTTAAGTGGAAAGTCTCTATTTTTCCCACAGTCCTAGATCTTATTAATATAATGGTTAAAATGATTTAACTCAAATTCTGATTCCCCCAAACTAAAACAAGCCATTATCATTGAGTTGTAATCAGAGAAGCGATGGAAATTTTAAAGGCAGACAGAAGTTATCATGTTTGTAAATGGAGGGTAGAGACATTAACTTATATGGTCTTAATTCTAGTGGTTGATATTACAAAAACTTCTTAATTATACCGGTAATTTAAAAAATACTTGCCATCTGAGAATGCTTAAGTGGTTTTGGTCTCAGGACTAGAGTGAAAATCTCTGAGGCTGGGCTAAACACATTCTTTCTTATTTACCAAATGTGGGCAAATTTCATTCATGTGACTGTTTGGGGGGCAGTGACGGTCGTGAGATCCTCATTCTGAGTGTGTTCTACTCTGTGCCTTCCTTCTGGGTGGTCCAGGTGGCCGGCCACTCTCGGTGGCCTTTGAAGCATGGTATTCCTTTGCAAGACCTCGTCCCAACACTGAGACATCCCTCGCATAGGTTGCCTGCACAAAAAAATACACAACCTACTCCAAACAAGAATGATTTGGATAATCCATGTAAAAATGAGAAATGATCCAATTGCCATGTACCTTTTGAAATCATTTTAACGTAAGCACGGCAGGTGGAGAAAGGCTTGGACCACAAGGTCAGCGAGCAACTATTCCAACAGGAGTCTCTTTGAAGAGCACCGCCCCCACCCGCAAGAAGTACGTTTTACTGCTCAATCGTATTTCTGGCAGCCGCTTCCTCTTTATTGCTGGTGGAGGTAGAAGGAGTCACGAGAACCCGTAGACTCCACTTTTCTTTCTTGATAAAGAACACTACTGCTCATAAATTAGACAGCCAGGGACGAAACACCCCTCTCTCACCTTGTGTGGAGCAACAATTTTATGGTGAGAACCTTCCAGCCTTTCCTATTGACTTCGAGCAGCCTGAAAAGAGAGAAGCTGTCTGGGTATGTACGTGGTCAGTCAGGCGGCAGCTTTACTGACAAAAGTTCAAAGCATGCTGGGAGACCCTAAAAGCACGGTTCTCCCGCAAGCCCCGTGGGCCAGCCCTAGAGCTCAGGTCTGGGCTTCAGTCATAGTTCGCCATGCCCTGACAAAGGAATACGGGCTTCTCCGCTGTCTCTGGGAAGTAATGCTACCTTCACAGAGATCTGGATCTTACCTTTGAGCTACACTTGTACAATGGGTGACTTATAGAATCGACATAGTGGTGTCTCATGCAGCGCAGAGGGTCCGAGTCCATCATGAAGGAGCTGTCCGTTTTGCTGTCCGTGTCTCCCATTAGCGCCAGCAGGGAGAGCATAGAAAAGGATGCAGCTAGTACATGATTTCTCATTGTTGTAAGGAAAGCTTCTGAGAAGGAACAGCAGAGGGAGGCAGAGGACTAGAAATGGGAAATGCCTTCGCCTCCTAGGATCCAGTTCCTTTCAAGCAAAGGGCAGGATCTGGCTGAAGCTTTCTGGTTGTCATTGTCCTTTGTAGGCCCGAGTTTTGTCTTACTCTTTCCACTTGCAATCCATCATCACAGTATCTGCTGCCCAGCTGGAATGAAAACAGAAATTATTTTCCCCAGAAACATTTACCCAGAAAAACGAATGGAACCCAGGAGGTATCGAGTAGAATTTTTTCCGTGACATTTTGAGTGACGACTATTGGTTTCTAGAGTGCCATTAGCATAGGCCGTCATCCATTCTCCCGCTCCCGCTCCCTCCCCATAGCTTATGCTACATAAACCACTGTGGACACAGTGGTTTAATGGAGGCACATGTTGACTTTAATTGCCAGAGTCCATGTTTCGAGGAGCAAGAATAGTTGGAACTCATGGTAAAGATTAGACATGTGGTTCTGGCCACAGCACAGCTGAATTGGGTGGGGGCGGGAGGGTCTATTCAGTTCCTCAGTGATCTCTGGTGCCAGTGTCAGCTCACAGGGCTAGAAAAGAGGCAGGTCAGCGATAATGAACCCAGGCCGCGTCCCCCGGGAAAGAAGTACATTTTCCAAGGCCATACCCACCCACCCACCTAGTTTTCCAGTAGGGCTCATCCTTGCTCTAGGCTCATCCTGTTTTTGGTTTAAGCCCCATGCCACCCAGCATCAATGACAAACTGCATCTGAAATACACATTATGCTCACTGGCCTCCAGTGTGGTTAAAGCAACACATGCCTATTCGCCAAAGAGTCACACATTTCTGCAGAGCCTCGGTAGCCTGAGCACAGGGTATAATTTGAAAAAGGAAGTGGTCGTCGGAACAAAGACTTACCATTAAAATGGGATCGGGACATATCGTTTTTCTTGAAATTTGCTTTGTTCTTTTAGCCATATGCATCTTGGACAAAGCAGAGAGCTCCCCGGATCACCTCGCCAACCCTCCTAAGCATGGCCAACATGGGTGCTTTTTATCACACCAGAAGACACAGTGTCAAAAATATTTTCCAATTTTTATGACAATTGGGGAGACCTGTCATTACATCCCAAACAAAAGGAACATGATAATTAAAGCTTCAGAAAAACTTTCAAAGGTATTTCAGATAAGAGTTTGATTATTTTATTCATTGTACAACATTTTTTTTAAACTTCCTACTCATGGACAGTCCAAATAAACAGAGCAAAGTATTGATAAGATGAAGATTAGAAGTTCAAGTCCAGGGGCACCCAGGTGACTCGTCGATTAAGCGTCTAACTTCGGCTCGGGTCATGATCCTAGGGTCCTGGGATCAAGCCCTGCGTGGGGCTCCCTGCTCAGCGGGGAGTTTGCCTGTCCCTCTCCCTCTGCACACCCCACCCCACCCCACCCCACCCCCGCTCTCTCTCAGATAAATAAAATCTTAAAAAAAAAAAAAAAAGTTCAAGTCCATATAAGTCAATTAGTTTGGCTCTAGTTGAATGGCCCCAGACCTACTTAACCTGTTAGCTGTCTTGTGAGTGTGGGGTAGGGGATCCCAGGCTGAAAAAGGTGTGTGACAAAGGGCCATTTCAGACAAGAGCATCCCTGGCAATGGCAAAAACTCGGCACGTATGTGTCAGAGAAATCCTATAAATTGCAGGAAGGGCAGGGACCAGTAATGAGGAGACCCACCTGGGCTCAAGCCCTGCCCTTGAGTAACTGGGGGACTTTGCACAGGGCATTTAAACTGGTCTGGCCCCAGTTTCCTCATCTGCAGGAATAGGAGAATTGGAAAAGATGGCTTCTGTAATCCCCTCTTGCTCTAAAATGGCGCCACCTGGATACTTATGGATCCAGTCACCACCATCACCATATGCAGGAGATAATCCTGAAGTTAAGACCCTATTTTCATACAACTTTGTGCCACTTTCCCTCGGGAGCATGCTAATTGCAACATCTCACTGAAATTGATCAAACCTGAGGTAAAGCTCCAAATTGGCAAGGGATGCCAAAGAGCATTTTTTGTTTTCTTTTCAGCTGCACATCACACCAAAACTCACCAAGATTTCAATTCAAAGAGCCAGGGTTTTCTTGGATTCAGAGGCTGCAGTATTACTGACCATTTCCTGAGTTTCAATATGACTGTATTATCCCAAGTGGTTATCTGACTCTTTGAAGCCTTAATTAGTCTCAGAAAAGGAATTTATTAGATTTCTTCTTTCACCACTCCAGTCTATCGATATTTCCCTCAGGAGTCAATGGCAAAGGGATGAAGGGAAAAGTAGACATTCCAGTCCTGGCCCTCCCTCCCTCCCCACTGCTAGCAACTTCTCTTCAGAGCCATGGCCAGGAGGTATGGTTAAATGAAAGAAGCAAATGAAAGAAAAACATATAGCTTGATGGCAAAAATAAGCAACAACAGTCAATAACAAGACCCTGTATTTGTGAACGTTTAGACCCAGCTAGTCCATTTCTGAGAATTATCCTACATGTGGGATCACACAGGCATATGGTTATTCACTTCGGCATTGGTTGTCACAGCATAAAATTGGAAACCGCACAAAATATCCAGCACTAGGGGACTGGTTGGATCTATTATACAATATTTATACAATGGAATACTATGCAACTATATAAAGAAGACTTTTCCCTGTATATATACATTTTTATTCATAAATTTCTGAACTTGAGAACATATCACCTATCCAAAACTTCATTTAAAAAAATTATACTTTCTCTTTCCAAAACCTGGCTTAAAAATAGTAATTAAGTGAATGGATGTTGAATGTGCCAGTTTGAGTATTGTAGTAGTATTATATTTTTATTTCTTATAAATATTGGAAGACACACCAGTCTCTTTTCTCAAGATAGTCTTTCTGGTGTATCATTCAATTCTTAGGCACTACTGCCACCTAGTAGTGACATCCTGAATTGCAAGCACAGTTGAATTTTTTTTTTTTCTTTCTTTCCTGAAAGGTGAATAAAATTTTGCAGGCAAATATTGTGAAGCGTATAATGATAAAGAGACAGTTAATGTCACACAAAATGTAACTTTATTATCTGATTTTCTCTTTAAAGATGATAAGCTGAACCCAGAAGTAGTAATAAAGATCAAGTATAAAAGAATGACCGAGAAAATGTTGCTTGACTGCTAATAAGAAATACATTTTTCAGGTGGACACACTCACAAAGCATGGTACTTTTTGTTCAGTTTTTATATTATACCCTGAAATAAGAATTCAAGCAACAATGTAGATAGGCCACGGAACTCACAGAACTCTCAAAACATAAAGGTAAGATTCTTGCAACTTAACATTGGGATTTTTGCCCTAAGTGTTCAAATCGAATGAAGAAATAAGCATAATGCTCAAAAAATGAGTGGCGTGAAGTCAGGTTGTCTGAACATGGTGCTGGTGGGGTATGCCTGGATGAGAAGGGCACAGTGCCGAGGGAAGCCCTCACAAAGAGGAAAATCAAAATGAAGGAAATTCACACCGCTTGAGATCCCTGATTTATGGCTACCTCTGGGTATCGACAGCGGTCATGCTCCTCAAAATTAAATTAATTCCCATTTGCTTTCATTTTTTTTTTTTTTTAAAGCCACGGAGCACAAAAGCAAGCACTGCCCATCAAGACTTAGAACCTCGGCCCAACCAGTGATGGATTGACTGAGAAAGCCACTCGCTTGCTGAACTCGGGGCTCCGGGGCTGCTCCGTGCTCCGGGTACAGTCTCTGAGACATGGACTTGGCGGATGTACAGAGCCCACATTCTCATAGCTCCGATGTGGAGCCTCTGCCGGCAGGAGAGGCACGTAGGCCAGCGTGCCCGACTTTGGAGCTACCCTCCAAACGATACCAGTGGAAAAGAACAACTGGTGCCCAGATTTCCCCACCTGTCATCCTCAGGGAAATAATATAGCAGAGCTTACAGTGGGCCCAGCCTCCTGGGTGAGAGATGGTGTTGTGTCCACAGAGCAGCTCACTCCTGGGCTGACCTTCTGCCTGGCAGAGGGTAAAGTGCTGGTTTCACGCAAGTTATTCCGGCAACAGGCTAAGACAAGGGGCATGTGCCAAGAATGGCCTTATTCTTGCCCCGCTTGCCAGGCAAGGGAGGGCAGTACTGCGGTATCTGTATCCCACCCTGGGCTGTTTTCAGTACTAATATATGCAAGTAAAGCCTCCTGTAGCTTCTTTCTACAAATATTTATTTAACACATATTCATTAAGCACTTACTATGTGTCTCCTTCTGCTCTAGCAGATAACAGTTAAGGGTCGGGGGGGGTGGGGAATAGGTCCTGTTCTAGTGCCTTCGTCCAGCTCACAGCAACTACAAGCAAAGAGTCTTGGCCTGTTGTTTCCTGGGTGTTTTTTGGGACCCAAGGATAAACTCCCTTAGCATCTAATTCATATCCAACAGGCCCTGCATCATTTCTAAGGAGATCGAGTTAAGCAGATAAAATATCATGACTTTGGAATGGCGTCAGCGTCACAGACAAGAGTGATTTGATATTTACTCTCATTTCAGACAATCCTTTCAAGCATGAGTCAGGTAAAGATGGCAGAGCAGAGAGTCCCTCTCCAAGGAATTGCCAAAAATAAAAGTCCAAAGATTTAAGTGTCGAAGAAGGCTTGCCACTAGATAACGCTTCATATGAGGCTTAGGAAAGAAAGAATTCTAGGTCCAATCAGAGAGTGTGAAGTGCTAAGTAGCCCCTTCTCAGGAACTCAGAGAATTCCAGTTGGATCTAGTCAACTAGATGCCTTGGAGAATAAGTCAGATGCCTCTTCCCAAGGCACTTAATTTATAAACTGTAAACAGCATGTTGGATTTTATGAAGCATCCCATGCGCTCAACGAATGGTTTTTGATATTATTCCTCTCTGGCCGCACAACAGTAACAGTGTAGTAGCCAAGCCTGGGCTGACCCGGAGGCAGCGGTACCAAGGCGGGGCCACCACAAGGTCACAAGGCTAACGGCTCCTGCCCCTGTCAGCTCACAGTGTCAATTCTCCAAATCACAGGTGGCCGTGCCTGCCCCCGCAGCACCGCCTTAGCAGAGAGA